CGAGTTGTACTGCGGCGCAACGCACGGCAAAACCAGCATACATCGTGCCTGTGTTTATAACGCTGATGGAACTTCTAATGCACTTGGAACACCGTTTATGCGGTCGGCCATAAGTGCAGTCTACGCGGACATTTATAAAAGCGTGCGCGGTATGTGAAATTATTTATCTTCGTCGAAGCACGGATAGATTAATCGACGATGCGTTAACAGACCACGAGTCAACGACGAATATTCACGACGCATAAACAACGACGTAGAGCCCGGCGTTACGCTCTTCGAATTTAAGTCTCTCGTCCGCTATATTTTTCGTCGCCGTGCCGCGTCGTACCAACGATACGTTTTCACGGATTCGTTGATTTCAAACAAGTAACGCGTCGACGACGTTTATAAAACACGCGAGCGTAAAACTCGAGCGTAAAATTCGGAAATCCCGTTAATCATAGAAACTGGTGATAATTTCTATTAAAATGTACAATTTTGTAGAAAAATGTACAACGAACGCGAAAAGTAGATGATGTTTAATCGCTAATAAATGTCGTTCGTGAGACGATATTCGAGTTGTTAAGTATAGTACGTCCGATTTCTTGATACGTTGTAATTTTTGCAATATTATTACGACGTATGCAAGTATTTATCGGAATTGACGGTATAGATACGAGAGGAAAGATAATCGATTAGATAGGAAGAAAAATTAGCAAAATTAGGAGCATTAGAGTCGCGATTAGAAACATGAATAATCGAAGGTGCTTAAAATACGAGATGATCGAAATATGAGATTTTCAACTATTTATAACGTTCAGATTTACAAAGTGAATGTTAATGAAGATGAATTCCGAAGATGTAAATTTAGGAATGTGACCGACAAAGTGGATTCAGGACGCTCGAGCTTGTTATAGAAAATTGATTTACGTAATTCTGGAATAGACGAAATGTTCACGTTTTCAAACAACTCGTATAGGTACTTTACGGAGATGGTATGAGTGGAGATAAAAGAGTTATTGTCTAAAAGAGACGCAAGATGGTTGTGTATACGTATGTATAAGTAAATGATTTCGTTAACGTACTAGAATCGAGTCGTTAAATATTTTCGAGTAAACTCAGCGCAATAATGATATGCGACGTAAGAATTTTGTATTAATTTTTTAACCTTATTCTCTTATCTTTTTTAATTTGATTAATACTTGGATCGATAAAACTTTTTATTAGTTTTTTCTTCTATATTTACGTAATACAAATTTTTCTGCTTAATAAACGTTCTATCGTAATCCATAAAAGTTCTATCGCAGCAAATGTTAGTAACGAATTTGTTAAAATTAATTACACGACATAGAATCAACCGGTATATCTTCGTACCGCAGTGATCATTTCGAGATGTGTTTTTGTCACTTTTGTTTCTTTCTACAATAATAAAATATTGATAAAATTCGAAGTAACCATTAATAGTTTTTCGTAGATATTACAAATTATGAACATATAAAAAGTAGATTTCTATAAGCAACTAATTGATGCGAAGACGTTTCGTACGAACAAGTGACCTGGTTTCGCCCCTCTAACCTCTTCTTTCGACGTCTTCCAACTTTAATCCTTTCCATTTCTAGCTGCTTTCCTCGCTCGCTTCCCGATCTTTGACTCCTTTCGCTCTTTTTCTTTCCTCTCTCCCTCTCTCTCTCTCTCTCTTTCTCTCTCTCTCTCTTGCTCACGAAATATACCTGAGGTAGCACGGTAAAGTTAGTCCCTTTGAAATCCTTTTGAAGTGTGGGAAAACTACGCTGACGACGTCTTTTATCTTAAGCCTGCACCATGTCCAGCAACTACAAAAGTAGCTGGACGTTGAAATATTAATATTTGGAAATCGTCCGAGGATAAGGTCGCATCTCGACTATGTGCGCTTCTTTTCAAGGTTCCTACTGTAGTTTCATCCGTATGCATATGACGCGATGTGACGCGCATAAGTAGCTGGAATTTAGAATACGCGATCGTTTTTATTTTAACGAATCCAAGTAGACGTTTTCTATTCTCTTTGAACAAATAAGCGCTTAATACCGTAAATTAAATTCATTTTCATTCGAAAAGTACGCGTTCAAGTTGTGATATCTTTTTGTTATCAGCGATTCCCGTTTCGTTAAATACTATATTATAGTACTCGCGGATTTTCTTTATTCACGCAATACTTTACACGGAAATGTTTCTATTTCGCCTTACGCTGTGTGATAAATAACATTTTCTTTTCATTTGTAAAATATAACGTTGTATTTTATTTTATATTTACCGTATGTACTAGCGATAGTTCATACAGCGTATGGGTCGCTATATCGATAAACGCGATATCGATAAAATAGAGAGACACGATCGATAATCCTTTTTATAATATAATAATAGAATTCACTGCCGTCGCTTGTTCTATTATCACTGTTTCTATTTTTAGCTAATTTCAGCAAATTGATTTTCCAACTATCGATGATTAAATTATACGATGCAGAGATAAGTGTGCACCGCGTTTCTCAAATAATAGATCGACGATAAATATTTGCATTCTCGAACATCGCGCAAACGTTTCAAGCAATTAAAACGCATTGCGACGTTGATCGAGGATCGAGACAGTCGAGTAACAAAATTAAGGACGTAATACGGTGAAAAGAGGAAAGAAACGGAAACGAACGTCGTACGGAACACGTTCGTTAAGACAGAAATCGCAAGTTTACCTGCAAAAGATGCAGATCCATTCCGGAGTGCGGTGCAGCGACAGGAAATAACGCAATCCCATGGTCGAATGTGATCGGTTGTACCGGCTTGTAGGAATCGAGATCGAAATGATAGTCGTTCTCGTCACATTCTTCGGCCATGTAGGTTTGCTCGATCGCGGTCGTATGAATGCTGAGCGTGCGATGAAGCGAGCCAGTCGTCGCGTCTCTGCCTCGAGCATGTTGGTGCTACATGAAAATACGATAACTTCGTGAACATTTGCAAATATTTTGATATCATCGAGCGCGAGCTTTATGGTGTTTCGAATCGTACGTGAAACGGAAGGAACGTATAATTTTTTAAGCGAAAAGATTTGTTCCTTCTCTTCGGTCGAAACGCGACCAAAATTTGGTTCCTCGATTTAATTCTTTCCTAGAGTAACAAAATAATTCTAAATGTACGATTTAAAAAATATAATTATTTCCTTATCGTCAAGATTTCTCGCGTCCCTGGAATCGGATACAAGAGATACGCATTTTCGACTTTTTATAGGGCATCGATAACAGCGTTACGTATAATGGCATTCGAAGCGTGAAATTTATAGCACTAAAAATGCTATGAAATATTTTTCCACGTAAGATTTTATTTTACGATAGTCGTAGACTTTTCCTTTCAGAGACCTGTTTAAGCTTTCTCGATCATTCATAACCACCGAAGAACAGCTTCGAATATATTATTCGCGCGTGTATGTCTAGTAAAGCTATATAAAGATATATTAATATCGATATTGCCTCGATTAATTTGAGATTTATTTCACGGAATCCTGTTCCCACAAAAGGTAGAAGGATGAGACGGCGTACCGAGTTCGCCGCAATTATCAACGAGTATGTCGCGCCACGTGATGTCGAGGTGTCGCGTCAGATCAATGGAAAGAAAAAGACGAGCGATCGACGACTTCCGACAGATCCTCCTTTTCCATTTCAACGACGACGTGCCTAATTAAACGTTCACGTTGCGCGCCTGAATATAATTACATATTGATTTTCGCGTATAAATTGCTCCGTACAATTAGAATGTACGTATTATATCGACGATTTACCGGGAGAGTGGCACACCTAAAAAATTATGACATCTACGTAATAAGTTGTTTTCATCGAAACCGTTACAGATACAGATATCGATTAGCTGTTTTCTTTCAATTAAATGGATCGGAAGACGGCATAATTTCGATTGTAACAAATTTTATAAGTACGATACCGATATGTACGATGCCGATACAAGCGAAGCTAATATTTGCGAAAGTTTTTTGACGAATGTTTTTAATAAAAGTTCGGAAGTACGATCGAATATTTAACGAAACGATTCTTAACCTGGAATACGTTTATTTTTCAATACCTCGTGAGAAAATTATTCGTTGTTTGAATATAGAAGATAACCGTACAAGCGTTTAGCGTTCGGTGTTCGTTCGTACGAACGTCGAAGTAGCTACCGCAACTTTTATATGGACAGCAGATAATACACGAGGAAATAATAGAATCGTAATCCGCCTGCGTTCTATATCTATATATTATAATGCCTTATGAAAGATACATTTAACATTCTCTTATTTCGTACGAGTATTACGCTCCACGATCGACTAGATATCGTTGTAAGAAGATTCGATTCTTCTTTTTTTATTATACCCCGTAATAAAGCAAAAGTAAAAAATTATACGTCCGAACATTTATTTTATGAACAACGCAACGCTCGTAATAGAAAGAGATCTTAAAAAGAGACGTAACAGTACCTTAACTATAAACGTTATGTTCGCTTACAATGAACTTTTACTACAGTTTTATAGAACGAAAAAGTATTTTCACGCAAGTTACATCCACATTTAGCGCGTTTTATTCTGTATTTTCTCTAAAATATTACTTTTATGCGATGTATATTAACAACATCCACTAAACTATTATCGATCAATTGTAGCCATATCTATAGAATTTTTTCAACAACGTAATATCTTTTTTAAACGCGTGAATACGTTTATGCTTTGTGATATGAAGCTGAAAGTAAATGATCGAAAGGAGAAGATTCGTTCATTACTGATCGTTCGAAAAGAATGCTTTAGGAGATTAAAACGCCTTCAAGGTACTTGCGATCGGACATTTTCAAAAGACGATAGAATTTCATAACGTCGTAGAAGGACTGTCGCGAAACGAATTTTACCTTATGAAATTCGGCAATTTTCTCGAGAACGGAGCTTGTATCACGGACTGGAGCGTTCTCTTGCTTTTTCAAGGAACTATTCCTCGGATTCCATTCCGTGGGCGATTCGGTGCTGGTATCAATAGCAATTTTTGCCGTTTGCCCCGAAGATGACACGTTTTCGGGCTCGGCAACCTTGCTGCTGCTACGCGGCGACTCGTCGTGGTCCTTGCATTCATGCTGAGACTAAAACGAAAATCAATTCTTTACTTATACGGTTCCTTGTTACGATACTTTTTGTCAATACGATCGTGACGAAACTATAGATATTAATGTATTCAAAAATTTAACATTCGGACATTTATATCAAATTTTATAGCGTTAGTTAAGCAAAGCGTAATTTTCGACTCGTGGCCCGATTTTGTCAAAATTCAAGGCTGCTTGTATATTTTTGAAAAATGAAATACGTAGCTTTCCTATCTAAACCGAGGTACTCGGTGTTTAGATGATTTCAAAGGTCACTCGAGCTATAAATCTTTCGCTACTAAAGCGATTCTGCACATTCCTCATTGTTATCGTGCATACAGAAAAAATGACCCGAAATTATGGCGAAAAAAAACGGATCATTTCTTTTGACGTATATCGTGAAGGGCACGTTTCTAAGTTACGAGGGGTTCTGAATTTTGCAGCGGTTTTTTTGCCTCTTAATATCTGCGATCTTGTAAACCGTATTTATTTCGAAATTTCTAGCCAAACTAAACGGCAATCTGTAATTCGTAGGGACATTCGCGAGAAATACCCTCGGGTGTAAAGCAGCTCGCGATGGCTTCACTCTCAGGCGGACAAGTACCACCAGAACACTGTTCGATCTAATTCTGATTTTAAGTGGAAATTGGGTTTCGGGTAGATTGGATCGGGTTAGAATTTCTTCGAGGGTTTACTTTGTAGCAAAAGCCTCGGAAGTCTCGAGATTAAGGTCACAGAGATGAAAATTTCTTTTTCTCGGCATATTATTTTTAGAATATTTCAAAATTCAAAGCGCGCGTTACGTCGAAATATATCCTTTACGATGTATGCGAAAAGAAAAACGATCCATGCTGCGTAAGCGTTTATCAACTTTAACCGAAACTAATTCCATTCTTGTCTTCGATTATTTCTACCTTATTTGTACGATACTATTTATAATATTTTTTATCCTATACTATACTACACTATAGTCGCTAGTAAATCGTACGAACGTCAGTCGTTGTAATAAAAATAGATAAATGTAAAAAAAATGTAAAGGTACGTACATAATTTGTTATGAACGGGTGTTTCAGAGATCAACGATTAATCTTTGTGGATATATTTTTCCTGTTTGCCCGCCACATTCTATATATTACATTTTTATCGAATAAAGACATTTTAGAAAAAACGAGTATAAAATTTGGATTTTTATGTTCAGCCAAACAATGCAAATGGTTGGTCCGAGTAATAAGTAATAGAAAGTAGTAGAAAAAAAGGTAATCTTCAAATTATAAACACGAATATATTCGCACGAATCTTATCGATTTTAGTAATTACGTAATATTCGTTTCAATTTACTTCTGCATGATATCAAGTATGAGCGTTTGAGCGTGTTTCTTTTATCACTAAATATTAGAGGATAACGAATCAATTAATAAAAGTTTTCTTTTAAATCGACGTCGAACTATTCTTTAGATCAAAAATTTTATTTTATATATATCGGGTATATCAACGTTAATCCGTTGCGTACTATGATATTTTATACTTATGTGTATGATATCTAAAATTTATATTTCCTTCCTACTTTACACGTCGTTCCTAAACTGAAAATTCGCAACTACTCGAAATAGTACAAGGCATCGTTAAATTGAAAAATCTTGCGTGGAATAACAGACACGCTAATCGACACGAGGCAGGAATTTATTATGTATGTTAGTTATTTTTAATTCGGTGTGCAACTGTTTGAAGCTGTAAATCTATATGGATTAATAATATCTTCGCGGTAATTCAAGAGCGTTATTTTTGCATAGTTACACCTGTAGATATCGTGTGCCAAATGTCCATCAAAATTTCATCAATTTGACCCATTAAAGTGCACTGTTCTATTAGTAGGAGACAGCGCCTTCCTATGGCCGTTTGCACTTTGAATATCGGCAAAGGTATTTGTTGAACGAATAGCGTGGCGAATTCTCTTCGGGAGCAATTTTAACAGAATTTCAACGAACCGTCGTGCAAGCGCTATCGTCGTTTTTCTTAATGTATGGATTTGGGTAACGTAATCGGAGGATTGACATTTTTTTACGTAAAAACGATACAAAGGTCTAAAACACGTACGATTTGCGTTCTAGCCAGAAACCGATAAAATACATATTTAGTGCCTGTTCTATTTTGAATTTGTGGCGACACTCGACGGCACAAATACCACTCACCACTCGACACTAACTAGTGTCGGACGACGGCAGCGCAGTGGTTAGCGCGCGCCTTAGGTTACGAACGTTCGGGTTCAAAATCTCATAGCTATGTCCTCGATTCGCTCCAAGTACCGAGGCTCGAGACATCATCATCCAGGAGGGCGGTGGATTTTTCTTCATCGTCCGTGAGGCCCGCGGCCGTGAGCTGTCTTTCCAGTAAGGAAAACCACAGCACAGCACTATATCTTCTGGGACGGGCATTATTGGGGGCACGCGGACTACTCGACTGGCCGTAAATGTTTTGTTATTGTTTGCCATTTCGACCGTGCGCTGGGAATCGCGATAATCGAAGTTTCACTATAACTTGGCACTATAACGCGATCACCTTCTTTTCACTGAAGATCACGTCGGGGTCACCAATTTGAGGCGGAGAATATCGTCGTGATAATCGCAGTTGCTGGCTGTAGTGCTCCGCTGGCCGTAGAGGCCCGGATAGGTTCTGCTGCGGGGGTACTGCTGTATTTTCTTCTTATTTGAGAATCGTGGAAGAAAAATCGGACCACGGGTGCCGAGATTTGAACCCGTGATCCCGAACGTTCGTAACCTAAGGCGTTAACCACTGCGCTGCCGTCGTCCGACGCTAGTTAATGTCGAGCGGTGGTATTTGCAGTGTCGAGTGCCGTCACAAATTAAAAGCTCCCTGAATTTTATTTCAACGTAACGCGTTTTCGTTTCGTCCATTGCAAAATCGATGAATCGTAGATACAGTTTTCATAGAAATTCTTTGATATTAAACGTTTTGTTGTAATTTTACTTCGTGAATATTTATTTGCACTGAACGATGAACATTGCCAAACTTTGCGCAACTACAACGTTCCAAATATACACGAGTAGAGTTAAAAAAGCCTATTGCAAAAAAAGATTCTTTCGACGAGATTTTATTACTAATTTCAATAAATACCGCGACTCTTTCTGGCCCTTTTGCGCAATAATTTATTAACCGATAATACGAGTAAGTTGATAATTTAATAGTCGTAGGTTAAAGATATCTCTTTTACAATTTTACAATTTTTACATTGGACAGAATAGTCAAATTTTTCTATAACATTTGGAATCTCGTACGACGATTGATTCGACTGTACAAGATGCTGTTGATCGTATTTTAACCGTTGAAACGTTAAGGGCCTGTCATAGACTATCAGCCTCAACAGTGACAAGGTGATTACGATAATTCACTAGAATAATGCAAACTCGATCGAGCGTTAGACGAACTATCGACAATGATCGAAGAGAAACACCGGGTTTTGACCAATCGCAGAAAGTTCGTCCTGACAATCGCGACAATACCAGATGGCACATCTCTATGCAAACGCAAAAAGATATCTACGAACTGAATTGTATTGTTTCGAAGCGTTCTCCATGTTCGCCGCACACATATACGCAGTACGTAGATGCATCAGATATTTATTTATTTTACGCATTGTAAAACAGTTTAAATGGAAAGAAATTCTGAACTATCGAGAGTTTGAAAAATCAACGCGCGTTCATTTTTTGGACGGAAATCAAATGCTTTTTAGATCGCTGACAAAATGACCGATGACGGTTATTGGAAATAACGGAAAATCATATCGATAACTCGATAAATTATTCGTAATACGATAGAAGCTATTCCTCTGTAAAAAAAAGCAATCCATTTCATTCTCAAACCTTTGCACTCACCGAAGAAGAAGTACTCCGAATATATTTGATAGCATCTGTCGTATAAAAAAACATTTACGAGAGAATGAAAATTGATTACAATACACGAAAGGATGGTTGACCGTGAAGTGTGATTGATGCGTTTGTGTATTATGGACACTACGTAGCAAACAGAAATAAAAGGATATAAACGAAGAAAAAGGATATTTCACGAATTTCACGAGCCAATCGAGAAATAATCTCGTCGTGACGATTTAGGATAACGTGATGGAGAATGCCTACGTTTATAACGTGTTACTTCTTCTATTTTATTTGTAGATTAATTCAATTTTGGTAATCGCGTTACAAATTCTCGGTGTATTTGAAACAGAAAAGAATTGAACAAAGCAGAGCTCTGTATTAAAAATCTAAATTCACTATATTTCGCTTTCTCTTATAATCGTAAAATAAGTGTAGTAGCGGCAGTAAAATGAAGGTTCTCACGAAGTAGAAGAAGATATCGCGGAAACCTTAAAAGTAGCTTCACCTAGATTGTATGGGAATGACGTCTGCAATTTCAAACTTATTTTGGAAAAGTAATGGAATCGTGTTCGACTCGAGAAGCAGGCGATTTTGCTCGAAAACGTATTCTACGAATTTCTTATGGCGTAAGAGTCGAAAAATACCACGAGTAAATGTAATACGAGTTTCTGAAATTAGCTCGGTCGCATAGGATACTATTCTATGCGATGAAATCCTTCTGGAAAGCTCGTAATATTTGCAAGATGTTTATGCGTCGAAGCGTAACATCGAATATCGATACGACTAGAAGTATACCGTAAAAACGTGTCTGAAATTTACATCTAAATAAAAAAAAAATATTTTTTTGCAAGCATAAAGATACGAAGAAAAAGGAAGCAAAGAAAAAGCAGAAAAGAAATTAAAGCACGGTAAACAACGTGATCGAACGTTATCGACAAAAACCTTAACAAGGCTGGAAATTGTCAGCAGCATTATGGAACGTATACTTCGTGTTCTTGAAATATCTGCTAACTGCTACTAGACCCTTTAGATTTACAGCTTTTGCTCGGCACCGTTCCGAGGTGACAAACCTCTTTGTCGAAAGAATTAAGGCCGTTGAAACTGAAAATC